TGTCAGAGCACCCGGCCGCTTTCCTGCTGCTCTTAAAACCTCCACCAGCTCTCTGGTGCATTGTCCCACAGTGGATTTCGGACCTATTTCTGACCTTCCTCCATCCTTCAAAGCTGTCTCAGCTCTGCCTCACCCTATCTGAGAAACAAGGGCTGGTCCTGGAGGGACCCCAGAGTGTGTGGGGGCAAGGATAGGGAAATGTGGGCTTCAAGAAGAAATGACAGGGATTTAGGGTCAGGAAAGCATCTCTGATGCTCCCAAGTGTGATGCAAAATGAGGCGCATCCCCCTGGAAAGGCCCTCAAAAGCTTCCCCAGATGAACACGTGCCACCTTTTGCTTTCTTCTCACCTTGGGACCACAATGGGAAATCCCAGCACTCACCCTTTGGCATTGTGCACACCACACCAGCTGCCAATCCCTGCCTGCACGGCCCTGGCCCCGTCTCTCTCCGCTGGCACTCCAGGAGCAGCGACTCAGTGCCCTGGCAGCTCAGCCCCTCCAGCAAGGCCTGGCCGTTCCTGGGGCTGGGCTGGGCTGCAACAGGCACCGACTGGGCTGGCCCGCAGCCCAGTTGCCTGCAGACCACCTCAGCTTCCAGCAAGCTCCATCCAGCGCTGCACACCCCATGCCAGGTCGCATTGTAGAGCACCTCCACCTGCCCTGAGCAGGGACCGGGGCTGTTCTTCAGCCGCACCTGCAAGGGGTTTGGGCCTGCGAGAAGGAGTGAAGGGAGTCAGATGGCCCCTCTGGGGCGTGCAGGGCACACATGCGTGCAAGGACGGACGGTTGGACTCGATGATCTTAGAGGTCTCTTCCAACCTTAATGATTCTGTATGATTCTGTGCCACCTCCACCTGTTCCCCTCCTTGCAAGGTCATTCCCATTGCTTATGTCCCACCACCCCCCCAGTCCCAGATAAAACCTTTTTTGGGAGTATTTTACAGAATCATTAAGGTTGGAAGAGACCTCTAAGATCAAGTCCAACTGTCAACCCAACCCCACCATGCCCACTAAACCATGTCCTGAAGTGCTGCATCCACACTCTTCTTGAACACCTCCAGGGATGGGGACTCCACCACTTCCCTGAGCAGCCCCTGCCAGTGTTCGACCACTCTTTCAGTAAAGGAATTCCTCCCAAAATCCAACATAACCCTCCCCTTGCACAACCTAAGGCCATTACCTTTTGTCCTATTGCTTGTTACTGGGGAGAAGAGACCAACACCCACCTCGCTACAGCCTCCTTTCAGGGAGTTGTAGAGGGTGATAAGGTCTCCCCTCAATCTCCTCCAGACTAAACAACACCAGCTCCCTCAGCCACTCCTCTTCATTCTTGTTCTCCAGACCCTTCAACAGCTCCCTTGCCCTTCTCTGGACACACTCCAGCCCCTCAATGTCTTTCTTGTAGTGAAGGACCCAAAACTAGTCTCCTCCATCTTTTCAACCCTAATTGCTCATGCCAAGAAGAGGAGCCCCAGCAGCTTCCCTGCCCACCTCCAGCTCCCCCCAGTCTCCTTTTCTCCAAACTAATTTTAACGTTGCCCTCAGGGACCACCTGAGCACACAATTCCTGCGTCTTCCTCGTGGTTGCAGTTGTGGACTCCCCAGCTGCTCAGGCTGCACTGGGAGAAGGTGGTCTCCGTGCCGGTGCACTCCACATCGTCCAACCAGATGGGATCCAACCCTTGCCCAAAGTAAGCGTGGCCCGGGGCCGACACAGCTGTCCCGCAACCCAGCTGCTGGCAGAGCACCTTGGCTTCGTTCAGATCCCAGCTGTCATCGCAGATGGTTCCCCACTGCTCTTCGTGAAGCACCTCCACCCTCCCAGCACAGCGGTGTGGACCGCCAGCCAAGCGGACCTGTCCCTGGGCTGTCATGTTGGCATCTGCCAGGAGAAAGAGGGTTAGGAAAGGAGAACAGGGCACCCATCGTCTCGTCAAAAATCATCCCTGATCTAGAGTGCAAATATGGAGTTGTTATGGTCCCCCTCAGCAAGGGATGCAAACCCCCCAACTTTTCCAGCGGAGTGTGACCATAGGGATGGACTTCAGCTGCACCTTTGTACTCTAAAATGGTGGTGCCTTCTCCATTCAAGTGTGTGGACCAGGATTTGAGGTCGTTTGATGTCCTGGAGGCAGGGCTTGGCTTGCATAGTGCCACAAGGGTTGGGCAATGAAGGTTTCAAGGAGACGTTGGTTATGAATTGGGGTGGGAACCTGTTGCTGGTTGGGGACAAGCCTGGCCAAAAGGAGACTGAGACCATTTGCCAGCCACTCCTTTCCCAGAAAACTGGGACCTACCTGAGCACACCACGCCAGCGTCTTCTCCGTGGTTGCAGTTACCCTGTCCCCAGGGACGGGCTTGGCACTGGGAGAGAGCATCCTCGGCGCCAGTGCAGTCCACATCATCCAGCCAGATGCTCCCCGTCCCCTCCCCGAAGCGAGCCCGGCCGTGGGCCGCCTCTGCCATGCCACAGCCCAGCTGCCTGCAGACCACTGCTGCATCGCTCAGGTCCCAGCCATCATCGCAGACTGTCCCCCACTGCTCGGCATGCAGCACCTCCACCCTCCCGCCGCAGCGGTTGGGTCCATCTGCCAACCGGACCTCCTCTGCCCCCGCCCTGTCCAGGCCTGCGGGCAGAGAAACAGGCAATGCAGCATTGGGGACAAGGGGACTGCGTGTCCGTGGTGGCTTTCTGGAAACCCAGGGCAGGTTCCCAGTCATAGTGGGATGGGAGGAAAGATCCTGGCCTGAGCCCTGCCTGCAAAACACTTGGGGCTTCAGAAGCACCACCAAGCACCTATGTTTGGCCTCCAAAACTCTCCTGATGGGGAAGGGGAGGAACAAACCCCCATTCTTGGAGCCTTGCTGGGACCCAGCAGAGACTCAGTGCAGCCCTGCATCCCAACGTGGTGTCAATGTCCTTTTTTCCCCAAACTCCTTCCTTGCTGTCCCAAGGGCAGTTAGATTGGGGCAGCTCCACGGGGTGTGGAGGTGGGGACCAACACCGCCTGCACAGGGGTTGAGCCCCTCTGCCCTGTAAATCTTCCCGCAGCTGATGGTTCTGCGGTCATGTTGGAGAGGAAAAGGCTTTTTTTTGGGTGGGGGAGGGCATCTCCAAACTGTGCTTTTTAGGACCCCTGCAGGAATGAGCATTACCTGAGCAGACCACACTGGCATCCTCTTCGTGGCTGCAGCCGTTGTATCCCCAGGGCCTGGCCCAACACTCCTGGAGGGTGCTTTCCCCGCCGGTGCAGGCCACTCTGTCCAGCCAGATGGGATCCAGCCCCTTCCCGAAGGAAGCCCCTGCTGGGGCTGCCACAGCCTCCCCACAGCCCAGCTGCCGGCAGACCACCGCCGCATCAGTCAGGCCCCAGCCGTCATCGCAGACTGTCCCCCATTGCTGGTTGTGGAGCACCTCCACCCTCCCGGAGCAGCGGTGTGGGCCATCCACCAGCCGGACAGTCGATGTATTTGTTGCGCCAGAGTCTGGAAGCACCATAGTAATGTCATGATGTGCTGGGGACACACACGGTGCTGGTGGCAATGCCCAAAAGGAGCCTCCATCCCAGGAAGGGCTTGACCAGCATCACCCCGGAGGCAGCGAGATAGACACCCCCCCGCCCCAGAGACCTTGTGTCACAGGAGCAGGACGTACCTGAGCACACCACACCAGCATCTTCTCTGTGGTTGCAGTTACTCTGCCCCCAGGGTTGGGCTCGGCACTGGGTGAGGGCATTCTCACTCCCTGTGCAGCCAACGTCATCCAGCCAGATGCGCCCCTTCCCCTGCCCGAAGTGAGCATGGCCATGGGCTGCCTTTGCTGTGCCGCAGCCCAGCTGCCTGCAGACCACAGCCGCATCGCTCAGGTCCCAGCCGTCGTCGCAGACTGTCCCCCACTGCCCAATGTGGAGTACCTCCACCCTTCCGGCACAACGGTGTGGGCCGTCCACCAGCCGCAGGTCGGCTGAGCTGGAGTTGCCTGCATTTTGTGGTGGAGGAAATAGGTGAGTGCATGGTTGCAGGGCATCCCACACATCTCTGGACCACTCCCTGCCTGTATCCCTGGACCACCTCCCACCTGCATCATCCTGCTTGCCTCCAGGGAGAAGAGGGGCAAGGCATTGAGTAGAAAAGGCATTGATGTGATAGGGCGCTGGTTTGTCCCCAGGGGACAAAACCTTGGGTGTGATGCCTGGCTGCAGGGATTGGGTTGGAAGGGATCTTTAAAGCCCATCTCATCCAACGGATGGAGTCACCATCCCTGAAGGTGTTCAAGAAGTGCATGGATATGGCACTTTAGGACATGGTTTAGTGGGCATAGTGGTATTAGGTTGACGGTTGGACCTGATGATCTTAGAGGTCTCTTCCAATCTTAATGATTCTGCGATTCTTTGAACTCTCCTTCTATGGCCAAGAGCATCTTCAACTAGATCAAGTTTCTAAAAGCCCTGGCCAACTAGACTTCAAACACTTCCAATATCATCTCACAGCACAGTTTGGGTTGGAAGGGACCTTAAAGCTCCCCCAGTCCAAACCCTGCCATGGACAGGGACACCTCCCACCAGCCCAGGCTGCTCAAAGCCCTGTTCAACCTGGCCTTGGACACTGCCAGGAAGGGGGCACCGACAACTTCTCTGGACAACCTGGGCCAGGGCCTCACCACCCTCATAATGAAGAATTTCTTCCTAATGTCTAGCCTAAATCTACCCTCATCCAGTTTAAAATCATTAGCCTGTGTCCTATCACTCCATGCCCTGGTAAAAAGTCCCTCCCCAGCTTTCCTGTAGCCCCTTCAGGAACTGGAAGGCCACTATAAGGTCTCCCTGGAGCCTTCTCTTCTCCAGGCTGAACAATCACAACTCTCTGTCCTCACAGGAGAGGTGCACAATCCCTGTCCATTCCCATGACCTCCTCTAGACCCACTCCAACAGCTCCATGTCTTTCTTGTGCTGAGGACCCCAAAGCTGGTTAGAGTATCCAAGTTGAGGTCACAGCAGAGTAGAGGGGGAGAATCCCCTCCCTCGACCTGCAGGCCCAGGATTGGGTTGGCTTTCTGGGCTGCAAGCGCACATTGCAGGCTCATGTCCAATTTGTCACCCAGCAGTATCCCCAAGCCCTTCTCCGCGGAGCTGGTCTCAATCTCAGCCTGTGTTGACAGTGGGAATTGCCCCAACCCAGGTGCAGGACCTTGCACTTGGCCTTGAGGTGAATGTCCTGGAGATGCACATGAGTGAGAGATGCAAGACGATCCTACACCAGCCCTGTGGGCAGCATCTCCTCCAAAGGGAGCCAGCCACCTGCCCCGTCCCAGCTCTTACCTGCACACACCACGCCGGCATCTTCCCCATGGTGGCAGTTGTGGATGCCCCACATCTCTGATTGACACTCAAAGAAGCTGGTTTCCTGCCCTGTGCACCTCACATCGTCCAGCCAGATGGGGCCGGCTCCCCACCCAAATCGAGCTGAGTTCTGGGCCGAGAGGGCCACCCCACAGCCCAGTTCCTGGCAGACCACCGCTGCATCCCTCAGGTCCCAGCTGTCGTCGCAGACCGTCCCCCACTCGTTGTTATAAAGCACCTCCACTCTCCCGGCGCACTCACTTGCACCACCCACCAGGCGAAGCCTAGGGGTGCTGGCAATCCCTGAGCCTGAAAAACACCCCAAAAACAGGCATTATTAGGGATAGGCTTGTGCATCTGAACACCTGCTGGGTTGGAAAAGTCAGGGCATCCCCACGGCAGTTCTGGATTGTGTTGCTGCAGCGAGTTTGTGCGTCTCTTGCCCTTCCTTTATCAGGAACTTGCAGCAAACTGAGCACAGGGTGGGGATTTTGCAGGGTGGAAGAAGCTGCAGAAGATCCCTTCCACCAATTGCACCCTGAGGGTGGTTGCACCTGGTTCAGAGGTTGGGACAGGAGAAAATGAACATATCTCCACCTGAGGGACACTGCTGGGAAGAAGGGATGCACAAGCGTCCTTCCCAGTGCTTCTCCATGCTTTCCTTCTCCCTTGCTTGGAAACTGCATCCCCTCAGTTCTCCTGGCACTACTCACTTCTTGCCCTAGAGTAAATGGCAACATGTCCTTTTCTGGTTGTCCTTGTCCTGACTCCTGACTGCCACGTTGACCTGACCATGGAGGTTGACCTTCTAAGGCCAAGGCAAGATTGGTAGCAGCCACCTCAGAAGTGGTGAAGCCACTCAAGCAGCACCCATGCACCCTACACCTACTGCTCACAAAGGGTGGAGGTGCTTCACCCCATGAAAACTTCTCAGACACCTTCAATGGTACCAGATGCTGAGGTATGTCTTAAACCATGCTGCTTTTTTTCCCCAGTATATAGTATTATCACATGTCTCTAAACACTGTTATTTTAACACATTTTCTACCAATATGGGCAATTTGTTGTCTGGCTTGTTCCCAAACTGTTCCCAGCCTGCATAAGGACAAGACTCGGTCTGTCTTACAAAGAAAGCACATAGTGAGGGTTACCTGAGCACACTACGCTGGCATCTTCCACATGGTTACATGAGTGGTGTCCCCAAGGCCTGCCCGGGCATTCAGCGATGGTGGCTTCTGTCCCAAGACAACTCACCCTATCCAGCCAGATGGGGCCAGATCCTTGCCCAAAACCAGATAAACCTGGGGCTGACATGGCCGTCCCACAGCCCAGCTGCCGGCACACCACGGCCGCGTCTTTCAAGTCCCAGCCATCGTCGCAGATGGTCCCCCAGTGCTGGTTGTGAAAGACCTCCACTCTCCCAGCGCAGCGGTGCGGACCGTTCACCAGCCGCAGGACTTCTGAGCTCCTTGGCTCTAAGTCTATAAAAGCATAACCGAAGGACAATAAATCCTGGTCAGAAATGCCTGCCCAGTGGCTGGCAATGTGGTGGATCTCCCCTTGCAAGAGATCTTGCAAGGTTCTCCACCAGCAGGGAGAATTTCTGCTGCTACTGCACCCTGGGTGTGAACGCATGAAGACCTTTTGGGACAAGCCTGCTAGGACTGTGCCCAGTAGATTGTGGAGTTGGCCAAGTTACTGAGGAGTTCCCATGCTGTGAGTAGTCTCATGGAGACAAGCAGGCAAGGAGGCACCAAGTGCATCATGCACCTGAGCAAAGAATAGCTTGGGGCAGAGAAGGGGCTCCCTGAGGACGTGTGTGGTAGCATGGATCAAAAAAAACCCAAACCCACAGGGATAGCTGCAACCTTGGTGTGGGGATGGAAAACCTACATTTTATGGGCTTGGGAATTCTAGGAATCCTAGTACTTGGGATTTCCAAGCACTTTGCCTGAGGGAAGCCCAGGACTGGTAGATGAAGAAATGGAAAACACCTTGTGCTCCCTGGTGGGATCACAGGAGCAAGGGCTGGTTGACACAGGAGAAAAAGGTGATGAATGGGCAAATTTGGTCAAACTGCATGGCCAGGGGAGGACTGATCCCTGACTCACCGCCACTGACCTGTGGCCGCAGAGCATATGACGCCTGCGTGCCCCCTCGACTTGCAGCTCTTGGCACCCCACAACTTGACCTTGCATTCGAAGAGGGCCTGCTCCGTCCCGATGCACTCTGTGGCATCCACCCAGATCAGGCCATCACCTGTCCCAAACTGGGTAGACCCCGTGGCTGAGTGCGCTGCCCCGCAGCCCAGCTGCTGACACACCACATGGGCTTCGGCCAGGTCCCAGCTGTCGGTGCAAACGCCCCCCCAGCGCTGATCATGAAACACTTCAACTCTCCCGGAGCACAGGTCTGAGCCATTCACTAGGCGGAGGTTTGCAAGGTCAGCGATGCCCGATCCTACAACATCAGAGAGTGTAGACACATTAAGGAGATACTTTCTGCCCCATGAAACCTCTGGTTGCCAGCAATGGGTTTGCACCAGATGCTGAACAGCCTTGGGGGTCAAGGATACTCTTGCGATGACAGATGGCAGATCTTTGAGGTGTGATGTGAACTGGTCCAAGTGGCGCCCAAGGCTTGATTAACATGAGCTAGACCAGACTGTAGTCCATGGACCTTCTTTAGTTTGCCCTCCTAAAGCAGACAGATAGGGCAGGATCCAGTCACCAAGACATAGGACTCCTTGTGCTATTTTGGACTTCTGGGATACTACACCTGCCCTCCAGCTACTGAAGGACACAGGTTTTCCTGTATCTAGGGTGAGATGTTACCTTTCCATGCTGGGGCAACTCTCTTCTCCCTTGTAGCTAGTGATAGGACAAGGGGAAATGGCATCAAGTTGCACCAGGGGAGCTTTAGGTTGGATATTGGGAGGAATTACTTTACTGAATGGGTTGTCAAGCACTGGAAGTGGCTGCCCAGGGAGGTGGTGGAGTCATCATCCCTGGAGGGGTTTAAAAGACAAGTCAATGTCATGCTTGGGGACATGGTCTAGTGGCGGGCTTAGGGCTGGTTCCATGGTTGGACTTGATAATCTTAAAGGTCTTTTCCAACCAAAATAATTCTGTGATTTGATGACTGAATTGAACGCTGGCTGTCTCAGTCAACGACACTCGGATATTAAGTGAAGTCCATCCTGATATTAAGCAACTTGGTTGCAACCCAGTGGCCCCAGCGGCCACTTAACAGCTGCTAAAATGAGCTGTACGGTTCCCCTGGCAGAAAATCAGAGCTGGAAAAGAGAGAGGGGGATGGGAGATAGGCTCTGCTGGGTTCCCACAGCTCTAAGCATCACAGGGAACATCTACCATGGATCAACCAAAGGTGTCGGAGAGTCCTCCCTGACCATAATGAGAGAAGACCCATTTGCACTGCAATCTGCCCTGCTGTGATGAAGTAGGGGACCACGTTGTAATTTGCCTGATGGGAACGGTCTCTGGATCATGCTATCTGCCAGGATTTGTGATAAATAACAGTCAGAAGTATGCTGGAGGCCATGTTTTTAGTGATAGCAGTGCAAATTGGCAGGACATTCGTTTTTCTTGGACTTCAATGTCTGCATAACAAGTGTTGCCCTCTTCCACCAGAATAGACCACAAAGGGCTGATTTCAAAGCAAAGGGTCTCCAGGCTGCATATGTTGCACCCTTAGGGGAAAGCAGAGCCAAACCTCAGGGCAGGAGGACTATGGTAAGGTTTTCTCCCGGGGCTGCAGTGGATGGTGGTTACCTGAGCACACCACGCTGGCATCTTGTCTATGCCGACATCCATGGATGCCCCAGCCCTTGGTTCTGCATTCAGAGAGGGCTGCCTCCGTCCCTGTGCAGCCCACTTCGTCCATCCAGACGGGTCCCTGGCCATGCCCAAAGTAAGACCGCCGCGGAGCCAATATCACAGCCCCGCAATCCAGCTGCCGGCACACCACTTTGGCATCTGCGAAGTCCCAGCTGTCATCACACACCGTCCCCCATTTCTCATTGTGAAACACCTCAACTCTCCCGGCACAGCGACCTGGACCATCCACAAGCCGAACTGGGGCAAAGCTGGAAACATTTGAGCCTGCAAACAGGCAGGGAAGATGCTCAGAACATCCAGCTCCTCTGTGGGAAGCGGAAGGACCCCACTTTGTGGCATGTAGCCAGCGTTGCATGATCGCATCACTTCTGAACCCACAGCATCTCATCTTTACCCCATGGAGACACTTTTCAAAGTGCTTTGGGGTACTGGGCCCAGCAGCAAGTAGGTGAAGCTGACATCTTGCTCCCAACTGGAGTGGGGGAAGTTACTGGTGCATCCTGATTCACTGCAGCCAAGTGAGACTCACCTGAGCACACCACGTTGGCACGCTTTCCCTGGCTGCAGCTGCTCTCTCCCCACGGGCTCAGCTGGCATTTTGTAAGAGTCGGCTCTGTCCCCTCGCACGTCACGTTTTCCAGCCAGACACGCAGGGGTCCGGTGCCGAAGTTTGCCCCCTCCAATGCCTGCAGCACCGTCCCGCAGCCCAGCTGCCGGCACACGACCTCTGCGTTCTGCTTATCCCAACCATGGCCGCAGACGGTTCCCCACTCATCCTGGTGAAGCACCTCGACCCTACCGGCGCAGCGGTGTGAGCCGTTTGCCAGCCGGAGATAAGCCGGCTCAGGGATGATCGAATCTGCAAACAGCCGAGAGATTAATTAATGCCTTCAGATGGCATCCTGTTTCCTTCCATGCTCATCACATTGCAATTTGGGACATGGCTTAGTGGGCTTTGTGGTGTTGGGTTGATGATCTTAGAGGTCTTTTCCAACCTCAATGATTCTGTGATTCTATAATTAAGTGCCTGACCCCTCCTCAAGCTCTCAAAAAGTCCAAAGGTGGGGAGAACAGGAGGGCTCCCCGTATCCACCCAAAATTTCCCCCCAGGAGCACCCTGCAAAGGGTGATCTGGGCTGCTCCTGCATCCTCGTGGACCCTAGCCCCATTCCCTGCAAGAATTGTTTGCTGGGCGAATTGCTTTCCATGGGCTTCCCTGCAACGAGTCAGTCCTTGTTGGAGCTGGAGGGTTCCCCGAGGGGTGGGAAATAGCGGTTAATGCCTCCCACCACCTCCAATGGGGTGGAAAGAGTAGCCCCTTGATGGGACCATCAGCTGCAGGAAGGGTTTGGGATAACCCCACTGGCTGCTGATGCTGACCCCCAATCTTACCTGCGGGGTGCAGATCTGCCACCATGACACCCTCCCACCACCTTGCATGGAGCGATTGGTCACCTGAGCAAACCACGCCAGCGTCTTCCATGTGGTAGCAATTATTGATGGCCCATGGCCGGGCCTTGCAGGTGGACAGCGCGATCTCCATCCCTGTGCAGTTTGTCTCGTCCATCCAGATGATGCCGTTCCCATGCCCGAACTGAGCACGCCCAGGGGCCGACAGTGCTCGCCCGCAGTCCAGCTGCCTGCACACGACCTTGGCATCCAGTAGGTCCCAGTTGTCATCGCACACTGTCCCCCACTGCTTGTTATGAAAGATCTCGACCCT